CTCTCTCTCTCTCTCGTTCTTTCACTCTCGTACTCTCGCTCTCGCTCTCGATCGTTCACCCTCGTTCTCTCTCGCTCGTTCCCTCTCTCGTTCTCTCCCTCTCGTTTCTCGTTTTCTCTCTATCGTTCTCTCTCTCTCGTTCTCTCTCGTTTTCTTTCTCTCTCGATCTCTCTCTCTCTCGTTCTCCCTCTCTCGTCCTCTCTCTCTCGATCTCTCTCTCGTTCTCTCTCTCTCTTTCGTTCTCTCTCTCTCGTTCTCTCTCTCGTTCTCTCTCTTGTTCTCTCTCTCTCTCTCGTTCTGTTTCTCTCTCGTTTCGGCGTGAATAGTATCGGTGCGGTGAACGGTGACGAGCTCGGTCTGATGAATTTTTTCTCTAACAGGTAATCTAACTGCTTCCTTAGTTCGTCGAGCTCGGGCTGTGTCAGTCTGAACTGGCACTGTACGGTTGGCAGTGCCCCCGGTTCTAATTCGATTCGGTGGTCATGTGCTCGCTGAGGTGGCAGTCCTTCCGGTAAGTCGTCGGGGAAGATCCCGGGGTATCGTTTCAACAGTTCCTGTAATTCGGGCGGTACGGCTGCCAACAGTTTCTTGAAATCACTCGGCTGCTCTGCTTCCTCTTCCACTGCGATGTCTACTGCGTACACGTCAGCTCCAGCAGCGATAGCCCATTTCATTGTGATGGCGTTGACGTGTACCGTTGAAGACTCGGGCGACTGCCAGCGAGGTAGCTCGACCCAGTTACCACTACTTCGCACGGTGCAGCTACCCGTCGTCCAGTCAATTCGCGGGTTATACCGTCGCAGCCAATCACGTCCCAGTAAAATATCGTGCCCATCCAGTGTCGTTGCGAGCATTTCCTGTGTAAACCCGAAATTTCCCCCGCAGCGGACTTTGACTCTCTCTACCTTTTCCCGTATGGCCAGTGGCGTGCCGTCGACTAAGCGTGCGTCTATCTCCGGTAAGCAACGGCTAAGTGTCAGCTGCAGTTTTCGTGCGGTTGCGGTATTAACTAAACTGTGGCTTGCTCCTCCGTCGATAAAAATCTTCACTGCTGCTCCCTGTATTTTCCCGTGGATCAGTACTGGGCAATCCGTCGCTGTACCCTCCTTATTCGTCCGAGTCCGATCGATAGCATGAATCGGTACTGTGACTCGGTGAGGGTCGGTGGGGTTGGGCGAGCAGGCAGTCTCGTCAGTAGTTGGCCCGATTCCTACTGACTGCTGGCGTTTCCCTGCTTTGGAGACTCCCTCCCCTGCTCTGCTCTGCGGCGCCTTAGCTCCTCTGGGCATTCGCTCTTGCGATGGCCCGGCCTGTTGCAAGCAAAGCATCGCCCCTTAAACAGCGCGGCAGCTGCATTCGTCGCAACAGCGTGTACAGTGGCGTGCTCGATCGGTCCCCGAGGACGATGTCCATAGTAGGACCCCGGTCTCGGACGGCGTAAAATGTCGATTTTCTCGGCGAGCGCGAGAATCTCGTTGAAGTTCGAGAGCCCGCGTAGCATGATTTCGTGCGAGATGTCCGGCTTCAGCCCTCCGACGTAACGGTCCACCCGCTCCGCTTCGTGCATGTAGCCGACTTGCTCGCATAATGCGAGAAAACCACTCGTATAGTCTTGAACCGATCCAAGCTGCCGCCAAGTGCGCAATCTCTGACGCGCTGAAATAGAAGCCGCGATCGGCTCGAAGCGCGCCCGAAGCCCTGCGCACCACGCATCCCACGTGCTGTATTGGGCGGTCTCGCAGAATGAACTCCAGGTGACAGCTGGGCCCGTGGGCCCTTCCTCTTGCGACGGTGGCTCGTAGGCGCGTGGCGACGTCACGATGACTCGCCACCAGTCCATGGCGGGGCCCCTCAGCAGCGAAACGGCATACCGAATCTTCGTTGCGTCCGACTCGACGTAATTCGCGTCGAAGAAGACGTTCATCGTGAAGACCCACGATTGAACCGTCGGACCTCCACGCTGGCTCGGGTCGAAGCAGGGCGGGCGTTGCGGCTTGAGTGGCATTGGTGCCATAATGGTCTGTTCGCCACTTGTCGCTGCGAACTCCACGTGCCGACGGGCTTCGCGAGGCTCCCGCGGGCTTGGTGCGACCCTGTTTCCTCCCATGCCAGGCATCGGCTGGGCGGCGCCATCGCTGGCTGCTCCTGAGCGCTCTCCCACGCTGTTTATGTGTTGGTGTGCCGGACGAGATGATTATCGGCTCGTCTGATTGTGCAGATGCATTTGTCGGTGCGTGTGGTGGCGCTGGATTGTTCATCGTTGATTGCTGACGCGCGGAGTCACGTTCCGCCGTGAGTGTCGCAATTTCGAGCGCCGAATCTTCAAGTTGGCGCACCAGACGGTCGAGCTGCTCCTGCGTCAATGTGGCGAGCGTGAATTCGGCCATGGCTGGGGTGTCGGGCGAGCTCAGCGAGAGCCTCGGTCGTGGCCGTACGTGCTTACGAGAGAGCACTACGAGCGGCGGTGCTGTGTCGCTGAGAGACGTCTACCCCCCCCAAAAATTGAGATAGTGGGGAAGCGAAGGTGTGGGTGCGGTCCGAGAGGAGATCGTAGGCTCTGAATACCAAGTGTTACGAGTGCAATTGAGTGAACGAACGAGAATTGCACTATCGAAGCAAGAGTACAATGAGCGAAGGCATGAGCGAAGAATATATAGCGAAACTACAGTGGTAACGGTAATGGACTGTGGTTGTCGCGCGACGGGCCTGGGATTGAGGTTGGGAAAAGTGTCGAAGCGGAGGCCCGGAGCGCGGGTTACTCGCCGAGCCGTGAGGTCGGGGTGCGATGTGCGAAGGTGGCGGGCGGATTGTCGATGCGAGGGTTGCGAGTGGTAACGGTGTTGACTGTGGTGCTACAGTGATGTACGCGTTGAGCAGGGATGCGAAGTAAGGAAAAGGAATTTTCCTTACAAGAAGCTTGAATGCTGGGGCGCTTTGGAAGGGTGTAAAATGCTGTAACTGCAGCTCCTCGGAAGGTTGTGTGGCGAAGAAAACATTTCGCATTGATCAGCGAGCTCGGCATTTCCGTGGCTGGGACTGGTTACCATCGCGTGCTCTTCGATTGAAGGAAGGGGTGTTGAGTTTCAGAGCGAGGCAAGTGCGCGAAGGCCCAGCCGTTCGATACTCCTATCACTCAACCCGTGTCGTCGGATGGTCACAAGAAAAAGGAGGTAGAAAATGACGTTCACGATTTTTTTTTTATATTAAAATGAAAGAATACACCGGAGTGAGCAAGTGTATAAAATCAAATACAGTCGTAACTGTGCATGAGGGGAACGGCGTGAGCCGGACCCCAAGAGGGTACTTAGACAGGGCCACGTGCCCTACGCTGCTTGGACCAGATGGCTGCAAAGCCACTTGTCCATTTCCACTTCAGCCCATCCGCAACTGTGATGTGTCCGAACAGGCGCTGTTCGTCCGCCAGTAGCCTTGCCCACTTGCTCTTCCGAGGGCCGCCCGCCCCTTTCCGAAATTTCGTCCGTTGCTCTTTCAGGTAGATTGTTGCATGAAGATAGAAAGCCCGCTCAATTCGTCGCAGAACTCGGCGCGCTCTAAATTTCCCTCCGCGAAACACTGCTTCACATCTCTCCACCCAGATCTGATGTAGCCCAATAGCAGCCAAAGTTGCCTCTGGAAAAGCTGAGTCAGAGCCAGCACGCTTGAAAAGCAGGTCGCCCAGCGAGGAGACGTGGCGAGCCGGATTCATCATGCGCAGGCCTCGCAGGTTTGAAGTGACGACCGATTGAATGGCCGGGCAGGTGAAGAGGCAGTGCTCTAGGGTTTCCTCTTCGCTGCAGTATGGGCGACAAATTCCACTCGTCCAATCCCTTCGCTCCTCCTCACCTCACCTCCACTCCCTCCCATCCGCTTCTGTTTCCTTGTTCTCTCCCATCCCATCCCTCCACAGATACCGCTTGTTACTGGTGCCTCATGCGCCGTGCGTGATTGCTTGTCATTCGTCTGCAGCTCGACGCGCAGACTTGTCCTTTTGTAGGCGCATGGCAGAAATGGTTCCGGCCCAAAAATGCTCTCCGAAGTTTTTTCTGCTGGAAACCTTCCGGAAAAGCGTTAACATGTCCAGAATGCTGCGACAAGGAAATCGAAACCTATCCCCAACACGCACATCAGGTAGTCGCGCTTCGGGAAAGGTTTCGAAGAAAGTACCTTGGATGTGGTTTATACGAGAAATCCTCGACGCGCTTCTGTTTCAGCTCCAGGGAAAGGATATGAGCCCCTTCTAATACTTCCATCCCATGCATCGTGCTGTTCCCCATGATTACGTCCTTCCTCCCCTCGTCCCTTTGTTCCTAGTATGAAGAGGCAAATAAGGGAACCGGTCATTTTGAGGCGCCTGAAAAGCGAAGCAGGCCTCGTCTCCCGTTCGCCCAGCAACATCTGGAATGCTATCCTCTTTGGGGCCCTCGAAATGTCTAACTCCGCACAGAGGAAAAGCGGTCCTTCGTTTTCCATGCACCCAGCTACACCTGGACTATCCTTGAACTAGTTTCATGTGCTTAGTCTTGACACGTCATACAGCCGCTGCGTGTCGTGTCAAGGTGTCACGAAAGTCGTTAGTCTGCTTTTCTTGTTTCGCATGAGTTTTAATTTTATGTAGATACACATCTCCCCATTCCCATCTGCCACTTGCCCCATTCTCCTCTGCCATTTTCCCAAATCCCTTTCTGTTTCCCATTCCCCTCTCCCCATTACCCACTCCTGCATCCCTTTCCCCCACTCCCTTCTGCCCTTCTCCCTTTCCCTTCCCCCTGCGACTTTCCCTATTCCCCTCGATTCATGAAATTTTAAATGGCATATCCAACTTCCCATTCCCGTCTTAACATTCCCCCATTCCCCCATTTTTCCGTTCCGCTCACCCATTTTCTAATATGCCACGTCCAATGTTCCCCATCCCCGTCTGCCCATTTCCTCATTCTCCTCTCCATGTCACATCCTCTTTTGCCCATTTCCCCATTCCCCAACCACTTCCCAGAGACAAAGCAATGGAGATAGGTGATTGCTGGATGGTTGAAGGAGGGCGAACATTGTGCTGAATGAGTGAAGGTATGTTATCCCATAAATCGTGTCATCACCTCATGTGCCGTGTCATCACCTCATGTGCCACCTCATGTGCCGTGTCATCATCCCATGTGTTGTGCCAGTGCAAAATGTGATGTCTCATGATCCCCATGCACCCTACTATGTATAGTGTCACCTCGCCATTCTCATCACCATAATCACCATCAGCCACCATGAAACATTGTCACATCCAACCATGTGGTGTCCTCTGATATTGCCGTAGTCATTTCTTCCTGCTCCACTCCCCCCTTCCCACTCTCCCCACTCAGCAGGCAGAGCACAGGGCAGAGCAGAGGGCAGAGCAGAGGGCAGGGCAGAGGACAGAGCAGGTTAGACGGGGGCTTACATACAACTGCGCAGCAGAAGGCGTGGGAGTGGGTTTGCAAGGATGGTGGCATGGAGAGCAGGTTAGATGGGGGCTTACAGCCGCGTGCAGCTGGGGCCCATGACCAGCCTCGCCCAGGCAAGTCACAACAACAAGTGGACAGGTCTCCATTCACCCCCCTCACACTCTTCACCATGCACCTGTGTCAGTGCACACTCAGGTCACACTCTCTCAGTGCCCTCATCTCGCACCTTGCCATTCGCACCCTTACCCTGCACCCATGCCAGCATTTGAGTCTTGCCTGAGGGGTGTCAAGATTCGATGTTGAGGCTTTTCATGGCATTTGAGGTGGCGCATGAATGGTTGCTCCAGGCTGGCCCTTGCTCTCCGTCCATCCCCAGCATTCAAGCCCGCTGCCATCTGCATGCTGAAATGCCCTCTTTGCCTCCCCTCCCTCACCTCCCTCAGCTCTCTCACCTTCATCGCCTCTCTCCTCTCCATCTCACCTCCCTCACCTCTCGCACCTTCGTCGCCTCTCTCCTCCCCATCTCACCTCCCTCACCTCTTACCTCTCTCCTCTCTATCTCACCTCTCTCACCTCTCACCTCTCTCACCTCTCTCACCTCTCTCACCTCTCTCACCTCTTACCTCTCTCACCTCCCTCACGTACTTTTCTGTGCAGCTTCCCTCCCGCCTCCCATCAGTTGGAACGGCCCCAACCCACGGGCAGGTGGGGGTGCCGCCAGTGCAAGTGGCCATGGCTGTCGATGTCGATGCTGCTGAGCTGGCAGTCGCAATCTCCCGACTCCATTTGTCTGTCGGATGATGCTGCATGGTGCCTTGGCTCTCTCTCCTGCAAGTGGCCATGGCTGTTGGTGCTGCTGAGGTGCCGACTGTTTGTATTTCATGGTTTAATTTCATGGTTGACTTTCATGGTTGGATATCATGTTTGAATTTCATGATTGAATTTCATGGTTGAGTTTCATGGTTGAATTTCATCACTTTATTGTGTCCATTCCAGGCCGGTTGTGTTCGTGGGGCTTGCTGCAGAGCAGAATATCCGGAAGAGTTCAGCCGTTTCAAAACATACTGGATGCCGTGCATATCAGCCGTTTCAAAACATACTGGATGCCGTGCATATCAGCCGTTCCAAAACATACTGGATGCCGTGCATATCAGCCGTTCCAAAACATACTGGATGCCGTGCATATCAGCCGTTCCAAAACATACTGGATGCCGTGCATGCACCCTACTATACCTGACATATTGAGAAAGCTTGCTTTCTTGTCCTTATAATTTGGCATCGTTCTCATTGCAACTGGGCATCGTTCTCATTGCAACTGGCTTATTACAACATATGCATCGTTCTTAAACACATGCTAGTACATGCAAATATTACTAGCTATGGAGTCGTCCGTCCAAGCAGCTGTGGTCTAGTAGTTGGTCCGGGGTGGGTGGTGGGGATGTTGATTGAGCCGTTGGAAAACGAGAAACGTGGGTGGAGGGAATGAACTCCAACCCACGGTTTTTGTAGCTGGAGAAGGGTGTTTAGCGCGCTTCGACGCTGCCAAATATTCGGTACAGGCAGCTTCGCTTTCACAATACACAAATTTGAAAAACATCAATGTGTTTAAAAATTATAATATTGAGAAAGCTTGCTTTCTTGTCCTTATAATTTGGCATCGTTCTCATTGCAACTGGGGCCTCTGAGACATGGACAGCGGTGGCTTCCGGTTGCGTAAGAGTGCCTCTGCGTGCTGTTCTGGGGGCAGTGCGTGTGTCGGGTCCTGTAGGTCGCGGGATGCCTTGATAAGATGTCCGACGTGTGGTGTGACGTACATCTCTTTGGCTGTGTCACTTCGCCACCTGCCCATCCTTTTGAAGATCCTGTCCGGCACGCCGATGTTGGCTGCTACGGTTGCCGCTCCCTTTCGGAAGGAGTGCGTGCCGAGCTGCTGCTCCCCAAGTCCAACCTTTGCGAATGCTTCTTTACACCAGTTCCGGATCGTTGTGTACGAGGGTGGCTTGGCCTGACCCTTGTTGGCTGAAGCGTGACCAAAAACGCGAATCAGCGACCCCTCTGAATGCGGGCCATAGCCAGCGAGTTGAAGGAAGCGTTGGGTGCAGCGCACGGGGCAACAGGGGTCCGTCGTTGCTGCGATGGGAATCCAAGTTCCACGACCGGCCTGGTCCGTTTTTGAGTGTGGGATGAGGATCCACATGACTTCGTCGTCGAATTGGATGTCTTGCCACTGGATGGCCACCAGGTCGGAGTATCGCAAAAATCCGGAGTACATGAGGATAGGGATCAACCCCTTCTGAAATTCAGCAGGATTGTCCGACTGCAAGTAGTTCGCGGACATGTCCCGAACTTGTTGGATTGATACGGGCTCCTTCATTCGACTAGGGCGAGGGCAGTGTCGTTTCGCGTAGTCCCGCACTTGAGTGGTAAGCGGTCCGACAGTCGAGCATTTGCTTCCAGTCATGCGATGGGCGAAGCTGACTGCCGAGCACGTGAGCTGCACTACAGACAAGGTTGCTCTTCGTTGGATTGCATGTACCAAGTATAGCGCGAGGGCCATGTCGGATGCGGGAAGAAATGGGAGATCCACCTTTGTGCAGAAAGCCCGAAACTTGGCCCAGTACGGTTCGTATGTACGGATCGTTGAATTATCTCGCGATTGTGTGAGCATGTTGATGAGTTGGTTGTGTAGCTTTGGGAGCAGATCTGGACACAAGGCGCGTACACTCTCAATTAGTCAAAAACCACCCGAAATGCAATTATTGGGCTGTGTGGTAATCCAGTGCCTGAAAAAGCAGCGGAATGTGTTCCAACTGCCAGACATTGGCTGCCGTGTGTCAAAGGAATGTGCGCGTGGATGTACGGTGCCCAGTTGCGTGGGGAAGGTTGTAGGAGTGGCCACCAGTTTGCACCCGGCCAATGTGGGATGATCAGTGTGAGCGACGCATGGGTGCGCTGTGCGTGATGGAGGACGGCCGGTACTAAATGGGGCGGGGGGAAAGCAAAGCTATTTTCTGATGTCCATGCGAGCGAGAATGCATCTACTGCGGTGGCTTGTGGATGAGGAATTTTCGTGCAGAAGCGTGGCAGCTGAGAGTTGCGGGAGTTTGCAAAGAGGTCGATGGAATGGGGACCCCAACGTCGTTCTAAGATGCGGAACCACGGCGTAATCAACAAGTAGTCGTCATGATCGACTGCTTTTGAGAGCTCATCGGCGTGTGAGTTTAGCTCGCGTGGGATCCATTCGATGATTAGACGCGTGCCGTGCTCCATGCATGTCCGAATGATGCCTTGGCAGGCCGTGGTAAGGTCGGGGCTGCGCGAGCCACCTTTGCGAAGGATGAAGAAGACGCCCTGATTGTCCACCCGCACAAGAACATGTTTGTGCGTGATCTTGCTGGAGTATGTTTGGAGTGCCCAAAGCACTCCTTCGATCTCCCTCCGTGTGCTGGACGTCGCTCGCAGCGGCTCTGGCATTGTTGCGCTAGCTTCTTCGAGGCCGCCAGGGAATGTGGTCAAAGTGGCGCCCCAACTGTGAGCGCTAGCATGCACATGGATCACAGCATCGTAGCTGTTTCGAACGTGAAACGGTGCACCGTTGAACCTATCAAACTCCTCGAGCCAGAAGTTTAGCTCCTCGGTCGCGGGTGGGGGGATGATCACGCTGCTTTCCATGAAGGTGCGTCATTGATCACTTGTAGCATGGCGTGGCTGAAAGCACGAGCTGTTGCGCCCAGCGCGACGCCCATTGACGCGAGCATGCCTGTGATTCTGGCCACTTGGCGGACTGGGACGGGTCGACATGCCTTGCTTGCATTCAACAGGTTCCAAATGGTTGCATGTAGTGAGGCTCGTCGTTCGGGACCGATGGTAAATCGACCGGTGGCCGTGTCCAGCTCCACACCCAAGAATCGAAGGTGTTGCGATGGTGACAGCTGTGATTTCTTCGCATTTATCACCAAACCCGTTGTTTTATGGTCCAGTATTACACGGTGGCAAGTGGCCTGCGCGTGGGCTTTTGACTGGCAGAGGAATAAGATGTCGTCCACGTATGGTACTACTCGAATGCCTTGCTCCCGCCAGCGACGGGCTAGCTGCTTGATGAGTTGCGTGAAGACGAATGGGGCTGTCGCAAGACCGAACGGCAATGAACGAAAGGAGTAAGTGCGCCCATCGAATCCAAAACCGAGAAACTTCCAGCATGAGGGATGGATGTCGATGTGATGGTACCCGGATTTGAGATCAATAGAAAACATCCAATCCCCAGCGCGTGCCACGTCTGCCACGCGGCTGAGTCCTTCGTACTTGAATTTTGGAACTATGAGGTTTGCGTTGACTTTTCTCAGGTCGAGGATGAGCCTGCATTTTTCTCTTTGCTCGACCACGTTAAGTGGGCTTATGCATGTAAGCTCGCTTGCGGTTGTCTCGACTGCTGCTCCAGTCTCTGTGAGTTCTTGGATGGCAGTACGTGTGAACGTAGCATGCGCGTATGCACCAGCGTGGTTACGCTCCCGGAAGGCCTGTGGTGGACCGTGGCTCCATGGGAGCCAGTAACCGTTGGCGATTATGGATAGGATGAGGCTGCAAGGGCACCATGAGCTCCACCACGCAAAGGTCGAGCGAAGCCGGCCGCACATCCGTGTGACGGTTTTGTCCGTGACGGCGAATTCGTATGGGCCATCGTCGCGAGGCACCTCGTATTGTTGTGCTCCTGTATGTACGACAAGGAAATGAACGGGACCAATCAAGTTACACGCCTTAATTAGTGAATGCGTGTGACATATACATGCATGCGCGAAAGATGAACCGTCAACACTGAGAACCATACGGACGGTTTGTCCTCAATCCATATAGGGCGTCCGATCGCACCTTTGCAAACTCTTTCCCATACTCTCTCCCATTTCCTCCCCTCTTCGTTTTTGTTTTTGTTTTTGTTGTTTTTTTTTTCTTTTCTTTTCTTTTTTACCTTGCTGTAGGATTGATGCTTGGGACCATGATCATGCTCCCCTCTTGATCTCTCTCTCTCTCTCTCTCTCTCTCTCTCTCTCTCTCTCTCTCTCTCTCTCTCTCTCTCTCTCTCTCTCTCTCTCTCTCTCTCTCCCTCTCTCTCGCCCTTTTTGGTTTTCCAAAGGTTGAACCAGAGCTGCCCATCCTTGCCATGCATGGTGGCGGTTTGAGTGAGGAACGTGCGTACTCTCTTTTTCGCCCCCACCCTTTTGTTTCTTGTTTTTTTTTATTTTTTTTTTATTTTTTTTTTTATTATTTATTTATTTTTAATCCTTCACAAACCAGAGGGGGCCTTAAATAAAATCCCTATCTCTCATGGTCATACATTGTCATGCCTACTAGCATGCTTCTCCTCCCGTCAATTGGGGCATACGGGGGACCGAGAGGCATTCTTCCTCTTCCCCAAAGCTAGGCCTACGGCCATACTTTATATCCTTATCCTAGGGGACCGAGAGGCATTTTTCCTCTTCCCCAAAGCTAGGCCTATGGCCAAATTCTACCACCCTATCCTAGGGCTGGCCATGGCCATCGCAAGCCCTACTAGGCTGCCCACGGTCTAAGCACTCAAGAGTGCACCGTGCATCGCGGCTAGTGGCGCGCTTCGCCATAGCCCGAACCCTACACAACCGGTGCGGGTCCTTGGCCCCCATGCCCATTCCGAGGGCAGGCATTGGCGACGTGGCCTGGCTGGCCGTAGCGGAAACACGAACCACGAAAGCCTTGGAAGTTGCCCGAGGTTGGAGGGCCACGTTTTGGAGCGAACGCCATGGCGCCGTGGTTTCCACCACGGTGGGAGC